AAAAAGAAAAAATTCTCATGAAAAAGCAATGACGGCAAGAGTCAAAGTATGAAGAGTGATATACCCTTAAATATCTGGAAAATTTAGCTTTCTTTGTGGTGCTTCTGTAGTACACGCATTATAAATTTTCTAAATTCCTTGATACCTTAACCAACCTAATCCCTCACACAGTCCCAAAGGAAATGGTGTTCTCATCAGTACCCTGGGGGCATACCCATAACCACTTGGACATAAATGTTGGATACAGGCATATTTTATTTATTTTTTAAATTTTTTTTGAAAGAGAGCATGGGGGTGGGGAGGGTAAGTGGGAGTGGGGGCAAGAGAATCTCAAGCAGGCTCCACGCCCAGGACCCCGAGATAATGACCTGAGCCGAAATCAAGAGCCAGGTGCCCCTGGATACAGGTATATTTTAATAACATGCTTTTCTTTTCTATTCTTGAAGATTATAGAAACATTGAACAAAGGGCAAAATGTTATGACAAATCTTGTTGAAGGTTTTGCTTGCAATGCAACACATGATAGATGCTCTAGAAGGAAAGCTGAAAGTCTATTCAGAGGGCAGCAACCCAGAAAGGATGAGCTGTATTGCAAAGTGTCTTCTACTGATCAGCTTTTCTGTTGGGATAGTATCCTATAATGTTCAAAAAAGAGTGGTACTTGTGTGTCTTCATTTCCTGTTCACTCTCCTGTTTAAAAAACTGATAAAGTTATTAATAAGTGTGCCATTATAAATGTAGTAGGGAAAAACAGGAAAGGGAAAAATAAAGCCCCTAATTTTCACCTGTCAAAAATAATCACTGTTTAATGTGCATATATACACACACATACTCGAATTGTGATTAGTCATTACTAATTTTCAATATAATTGTCCATGTTTATCTTCATAAATTCTTAATAAATTAACTCTTGTTTATTATGATAGAAATTCATATATTTTGTAAAAACCTTGAAAAATGAAAGCAAATCATCCTGCTTCATGGGTCAGGTATAATCCCTTAATAAAGTATTTTGAGATACTGATCTTTTTTTATGCATAGAAACACTTTACTTTTCTACTGGATTTCATATCATGAACAGTTTTGATTTGTAAAAGAAAAGGACAGTCCATTTGCCTATCTGCCCAGTCCATTCTAGACCAGTTCTGCCATGATCCTGGGTGGGCAGCTTGCCATGTGACCCTTCTCTGACCACTGAGGTTTGGATCGGGTGGGGGACCCCTAAGCCAGGCTTGGTCATTTGGATACCCCCAGAAGTTCGATATTGGGTCACAGATTCTAGTTCATCTCTGTTAGACATTTGAACAAGAAACTAATCTAGAGCTGGAACCATTTTTGTGGTCACATAAAAACCAAATAGAAACAAACCAGCCTAGTGAAAAGTAAAAGAATGAAAGCAAGTCCTGAAGCTGGGACCCTATGAAGGCTCAGCGCAACTCAGGATAAACGACTCCGGCCCTCAGCTCCTGAGGTCCACCACACTCCCAGCTGGTCCTGGGAGTCCAAGGAACACCCTGTTTCCTTCTGTTAAAGGTTTCTTTTAAGTCATTTTGATTGGTTTCTGAACCTTGCTAACAAGTAAACCCAAAAATCCCTGATTAAGACACCCAGATAACTAAAAGTCTTCATGGAAGATCATTTATTTTTATTTTAAAAAAATTTTTTTTAAAGATTTTATTTGAGAGGGTGAGCAAGAGTACAAGCAGGGGGAGGGGCGGGGGAGAGGGAAAAGCAGACTCCCTGCTAAGCAGGGAGCTGATGTAGGACTGGAACCCAGGACCCTGATATGACCTGAGCTGAAGACAGCTGCTTAACCAACTGAGCCACCCAAGCATCCGGAGAGAATTTTAATATAGGTTGCACAATATTCTATGGTGTATGTTCCCATTGTTAGTCGTTTAGTTTATAGTTTGTCACCACAAACATTTCAGTAAACATTCTTGGACATAATAGCCTTGCTCACTTTGTAGAATTCTTTTCCTTCATTCAATTCCTGAAACTAGGATGAATGAGACAAAGGGGTAGGCACATTTTCTAAGGCTTTTGATTCATTTGCCAGATTGCCCTCCAGAAGGGTTATACTAATCTGTGCCTTCTGTTAGCAGTCTGTGAAAATGCCCGTTTTTCCATACCCACATCAAACCTGGGAATTACTCTTTTGCACATTTGACAATCTGGTGCGTACGAAATGAGTTTTTTTTTTTTTTTAAAGATTTTATTTATTTGAGACAGAGAGAATGAGAGAGAGAGAGCACATGAGAGGGGGGAGGGTCGGAGGGAGAAGCAGACTCCCCGCCGAGCAGGGAGCCCGATGCGGGACTCGATCCAGGGACTCCAGGATCATGACCTGAGCCGAAGGCAGTCACTTAACCAACTGAGCCACCCAGGCGCCCGAAATGAGTCTTTTTTTAAGGGGTTTTAGAAGAATACTTTTGCTGCCAAAGTTGAACATCTACTTGCATGTGAATTGGTCATTTATAATTCTGGTTTTGTGAACAGCTATGCTCACATTTTTCTGGATTTTTCTATTAGATTCTTTTAAATAGCAGTGCCCTTTAAAATTAATAGGGGGGCTGTATATATTAAATTTTAGATGCACATGCTCTTTGACAGATCAATTCCAATATGTAGTATTTAAGCTGGAATTATAAAAATGTGTGAAGATACTGTTCTCTGCAGCATTACTTACTGTGGGCAAATAGACACACATATATACACATGTCCTATGAAACAATAGGGATAGTTAGGTAAATTGGTGTGCATCCATACAACGGAAACCATGAGGCTGTTAAAAAATAAGCTGATACGGAAAGATCTCCAAGCTATGTTAACAGAAGAGGCTGAGGTGAAAATTCATGTTGTGAGCCCATGAGTTTAAAAATACATAGCTACAGGGCGCCTGGGTGGCTCAGTCGGTTAAGCGACTGCCTTCGGCTCAGGTCATGATCCTGGAGTCCCCGGATCGAGTCCCGCATCGAGTCCCGCATTGAGTCCCGCATGGGGCTCCCTGCTCGGCGGGGAGTCTGCTTCTCCCTCCGACCCTCCCCCCTCTCATGTGCTCTCTCTCATTCTCTCTGTCTCAAATAAATAAATAAAATCTTAAAAAAAAAAATACATAGCTACATATTCACTAAAATGTTTATTGAGTGCTACTATGTGGCTGGTAGTGTCCTGGGAAAACATACACAAAATATTAACAACGGTTAACTTTGGGGATAGGGTACTTTTCATTTTACAGTTTCTAAGCAACTTGATTTTTATTGGGCATACATAATCTACATATTTAAATTTTAAGAACTTGTGCCGCTCGCTAGATTGTAATTGTTCATCTGACCAGCAACCTGAGGATACTAAAAAGGGAGTCTCGGCTTTGCCATCTTGTTTTTGTTTTTTTTAAGATTTCTTATTTATTTCACAGAGAAAGGCACAGCGAGAGGGAACACAAGCAGGGTGCCCGATGCGGGGCTCGATCCCAGGACCTGGGATCCTGACCTGAGCCGAAGGCAGAAGCCTGAGGACTGAGCCGCCCACGGGGCCCTGCCATCTTGTTTTTAACTGAAACAATCCGCAGAGGTGAAGGGCCTGCTCGGGTCTTCGGGACGCGCCTGCGCGGGACGGCGGCAGGGGTCCTCCCGGCGCACTAGAGAGAAGGGCGGCCTCGATCCTAGAGAGGCCGGGGCCGCGTTCCTAGAAAAGCCGCTACTCGGCTGCCCGAGCAGCAGAAGAAGCTTTGGAGATGCGGACTCACCGCCGCCCGGGACCTGTGGCGAGGCCGCCGCGTCTTTGCTGAACACGTTTCTTGAGCTTTTGGTCCGCTGACCAGCAGTCGGACGCGCACATATTGCGCGCCCGCTTAGTGCCTCCGGAGTGCTCCGAGCGCCGCAGGTGCCCCTCCGTGCCTTCTCCGACCGCCGTGCTGCGCGGACACCAGGTGGGAGCCGGGCTCGCTGGGGCTGTGTGGACGGGGC